GCTGAACGGCTGGGTTGGGTGGGTTTGAACCTCCAACTTGTCGATTCAAAGCTGAGCTCTTCACCACTGCACCACCGTGTGTGTGTGTGTGTGTGTGTGTGTGTGTGTGTGTGTAGATAATGAGGAAGTTAGGAAAGAACTTTGAGGAAAAAAAGGTAAGTGCCGTGAGCAGTGGTTATCATTACTAAGTGTATGTGCTTTGGGGTCCATCAGCCCCTCCGTCCACCCAGGCTTTCCGGTGTCCCCCACCTTTGCATGTCCCCAGACACCGCCTCTGAGTCCTGAAGCGGTTCGGCTGCCCTTGCAACCCCCGTAGATGAACTTCTCGCAGGGGCCGGAGGAGGCGTTGTAGGTGAAATGCCCAATGTGTTCCATGCACCACCAGGCGGAGCCAGGAGGCGCGCAAGTCTTTTGGGGCTGAGCGGCGGCTCGCCGGGAGGGGGCGCTCGGCCACGGCTTGGTTCCACTCCAGCGCTCACCGCTGCCCCAGATTCCTCTAGCCGCGTCTGGTTCTCCGCAGCTGCTCCCCACGTTGTTCAGGAGCCCGAGGGCCCCATCCAAGCCCACCTCCACCCAGGAGACGGAACTAAGCTGCCCTTCTCCCGGTGGAACCACATACACGACTCCTCCCACAAGCAACCTCGTTGCTTAGGAAGTCACTCCCGCCGCAGCCAGTATAGACCAAGTGCTCTCAGCGCTGGGTGCCGGGCTTGTAGGAGACCGGCAAGGCTCTGGTATCTCAGGACCCCGGTGCCCGGCCTGTTGGCATGCACCAGGGAAGTGGGTGAGAGGGAGAAAAGAGGGTGGGAAAAGGTCAGAGGAGGAAGAAGGCACCTCCCAAATCCCTCCTGGGGTTGAGGAATCCCTAGCCTTTCGGAGACCCACTCCCACCTCACAACAGACATGAATGAGTTTGTGAGTTCCCGTCCCCATTATTTCAGCCATGTGGGAAACTATGGGTGTATTTCCAGGGTAAAGCTGCCTTGAAAAGGGAAAACAGATGAGTCGTCCATAGAAGAACAGAAGAGACAATAGAGATCTCATTTGCTTAGGAATTTTTTGGTATTAAACTGAAAGTCTTGAGTTATAGGAACACCTACACATACACACACACACACACACGCCCACACACACACGCCCACACACACACACAAGGACTGTTGGTGACCATAGAGGTATGACAGATCAAAGATCCGTGAACAAAAACTTTGCCTGATTTGAGAGAAGGGGCCAGGACTGAAGGGGCAGAAAATCTGAGCACAAGACCCCACCTTACTAAGGAGAGAAAAGAGGAGTATTTGGTGATGAAGAAATTTGGAAACAGATTGGGGTGATGCGTGAACAAGATGAATGTGGTCAATGTCACTGAATTATACATGTGAAAAATGGTAAAATGGCAAATGTTTTGTTACATGTGTGTTTATAAGTTACATAGGTTACCACCAAAAAAAAAAAAAAAGAGTAGCATTGCAGAGCCTGGAATGTGACAGAGTGTAATTGAATGGTGGCCCCAAAAAAAGATAGGTCCCCATCCTGATCCCCAGAACCTGTGGGTGTGACCTTATTTGGAAAAATGGATCTTTGCAGACATAATTAAGGATCTCAAGATGAGATCATCCTGGATTATCCATCCCACTGCCATCGAGTTGATTCTGGCTCATAGCGACCCTGTGGGACAGAGTGGAGCTGCCCCGTAAGGTTTCCAAGGCTGTAAATCTTTACAGAAGCAGGCTGCCACAGCTTTCTCCCAAGGAGTGGCTGGTAGGTTTGAATTGGCAACCTTTTGGTGGGCAGCTGAAAGCTTTAACCACTGGGCTACCTGAGCTCCTTGGATTATCCATATAAGCTCTAAATCTAATAACAGGTGTTGTTACAAGAGACAGAAGAGAGAGAGATACAGGGATAGAGAAGGCTATGTGAAGACAGAGGCATAGCTGAGTCAGATGAACTCACGCTGTTGTCAGGAGCTGTTGAGTGGATTTTCAACTCATAGCAAAGCCATGTGATGGAATAGTACTGCCCCAAAGAGTTTTCTAGGTTGTGCTCTTTATGGGAGCAGCTCACAAAATCATCCTCCCATGAAGCGCTTGGGTGGGCTCAAGCCTCTAACCTTTCAGTTAGCAGCCAAGCACTTAGCCATTGTGCCACCAAAGGGCTCTTTGAATTAACCTTACTGCTTGGTATAAGGCCATCATGCTAGAAGCAGGAGACTAGACTTTAACTTCTAGACTTACATTGTACAGTAGGGCAGCCAGTGTCCACAGGAAGCTCATGAGCATCTGAAATGTAGCTACACTCCATTGAGATGGGCTGTATGCATAACGTACATCTTGGATTCCAAAGACTTGGGAGCTCTGGTGGCATAGTGCCTAAGGCATTTGACTGCTAACCAGAAGGCTGGCGGTTCAAACCCACCAGCCACTCCTCGGAAGGAAGGTTGGGCAATCTACTGCCATAGTGATACTGCCTTGGAAACCCAAGGAGGGGTCACTATGAGTCAGATCCGACTCGATGGCAGTGCATTTGGTATTGGGTCAAGAGGGAGGAGTTCCGGCATGGCACGAGCAGTTTAGTAGTCGAGTACTAGCAAAAAAGTTTGGTGGTTCGAATCCATCCAGAGGCACCTTGGAAGACAGGCTTGGTGATGTGCTTCTGAAAGTTCACAGCCTTGAGAACCCTATAAAAAATAAAACAAAACCCACTGCCATTGAGTCTATTCTGACTCATAGCAACCTATGTCCTATAGAGGACAGAGTAGAACTGCCCCATAGGGTTTCCAATGTTGTAAATCTTTATGGAAACAGACTGCCTCATCTTCCTCCAGTGGGGCAGCTAAGGCAGTTCTACTCTGCACACATGGGGTTGTTATGAGTGGGAATTGCCCCCATGGCAACTAACAACAGCCACAACCACAATTAGGTTAACAGTGTTCATCTCTTTGAGTGGAACAGACATATGTCAGTGTAGTCCAATCTGAAAAACAGTGGCTGTGTGAACCTCCAAGTGGCCATCCCAGGGACGGTGATGGCCCCTGCTCCTGTGGAAGGGCATTGGAAGACACCAGTGTTAGTGTGATAGCTTGCTGGACATTTTGGTAAATCCCTCCTCCATTGTTTTCTGACCAATTTATTTTAAAAATCAAAATATTATTTGCACATAGTTTCAAAACTGCCCAGTCACCCTAGGTTTGGCTTCCACAGATCTCTTCCCTAGCCACACTAAGCCACACCCATTTTCAGTGTTCTCAGAAAGAATGAATCGCCTTCCTAAACACATTAGTCTTATAATTCCACCAGCTATGCTCAGATCCCCTAGCTCTCCTCCTCATCTTTGTCCTCAAACATTAGACAAGAAGGTCAGCACCAGCTTTTATTGGGAGAAGAAGGCTCCCCAACATCAGGGCTGTATTTCCTGTGCTCAGGGCAGCCGTAGGACAAGAAGCCACTGGGAGTGTTCTAAACCCCAGGTGTCATCCTCTCCTGATGCCAGGATAAGTCTTTTGGCGTCACCAAAGCAGCTCAGGACAATTTAGGGCACTGAGGTCTCTGCAAACAGAAGAAAAATCAAGTTACAACTGTGCTGTCTGGACTCTAACTACCCACCATGTTTCCCCTCCACCCTACAGGAATTTAGCATCTATTGCCTTCAAAAGGCTTAAATGGCTCCCCACTTCTCAGATAATGCAGTTCAAACTGGCATGGAAGATTCTTATCCTTCAGACATCAACCTGAATGATAACAGCCTTTCCATCCCTTTACTCTTCTTGCCCTACCATGTCACATACGTGCCCATCTTCTGTGCCTTTGCTGACAATCACCCTATCATTTGTTCAGCTTGTTCTCTGTGCTATCCTCCCTTTGTCACATCCTGTCCATGATGGCAGAGGCTTAAGAAGCATTTAGAGGCCCTGGTGGTGCAATGGTTAAGCACTCAGCTGCTACCTGAAAGGTTGGCAGTTCAAACCCATGCAGCAGCTCCACCAGAGAAAGACCTGGTGATTTGCTTTTGTAAAGATCATAGCCTAGAAAAGTCTATGGGGAAGTTTCACTCTATTATATGGGGTCCCAATGAGTCAAACATCAATTCAATGACACCCAACAACAACAACAACAACAAGCACTTGCATACTGGGCCTTGACCTCTTAGAACACTCCCTCTTGGAAACCAAGGCACTCTGGTGGCATAGAGCCTAAGCCATATGACTGCTAACTAGAAAGTTAGTGGTTCAAACACACTAATCCACTCTACTTCTGTAAAGACCACTTTGGAAACTCAATGGTGGTTGCTATGACTCAGAATCGACTCAACGGCGGTGGAGTGGGTTCTTGGAAACCAGCCGCCGTGCTGTAAAGAAGTTTGGGCTAGACTATGGAATGATGAGAGACCACCCTGGAGAGAGAACCTGGAGGATGTTCTAGCTGCAGCCGAGCTCCCCTGTAAGAGGGACCTCACTACACTATGTGTGTATAAGAACAGCCTAGCTGGCCCTGTCAACCCATACAACCATGAGAAAGAATCAACTGTTGTTGTTCTAAGCCACTATGCATCGAGATGGATTTTTATGCAGTGGTAACTGAAACACTTACTAATAGAACTCCAAGTTTGTTCTGAGAAGCTATAATGCCAACTAAGATTATTCACTTCCCCATGTTTCCTTGAAACTAGGGATGACTATATAAACTAAAGCATAAACTGGGGAAACTTTTGCATTCCTGATACCGGGAACACCCCTTTCAAACACCCCCCTCACTTCTTTCTTCTTCTGGTCTGAAAGGCAGACGTAACACTGAGAGGTGGAGCAGTCATCTTTCAACCAAGAGGCAATTAGCATGAGGACAAGAGCCAATGACTGCAAAGGAGAAAGAGAGGGAGAGCCTCATCCGTGTCAGCATCCTGGAACCACCACACCAGCCCTGGCGCCTACCTCATGACCTTCTTGTCATGAAAGAAAAACAAGTCCTATTGCTTAATTTTCTGTTGCATCCAACCAAGCACATTCCTGATGTGTCCCTTCATCATGTCTATGAACATAATGAAACGCAAGGAAGAGGAGGGCCTTGCCCAGAACTACAGAGTGAGTCAGTGGCAGAGCAGGACAATACTCAGCCTATTGGCTGGCAGTGAAGTACTCTTTCTACTATACCATGCTTAAAACACACATGCAACTGGCCAGGTCCTCAAGAAGAGACACACACAAAGAAGGCCACATCCCACCAAACCCACTCACCATGACTCATGCATCCCAATGTTTATTTCAAGTTATTAAAATGGAGGAAAAGACAACAGGCAATGAAGGTTTTGTAGAAAACCAAAGCAGGACTGGCCCAGCAACTAGAGTAGAAACAGGCTCTGGGAAGTCTGCCTTGATGGAAAAAGCAAGGGTTGGGCTCCAAAGAGAACACACCAAGCTAAACAACCAAGGTGTAATGGTCCTGCCGCCTACGTTTCCTGAACTGCCCCAATTTCAGATATTCAGTGCCATTGTCAGACTGTGTCAAAGCAATGTGCCCCGATTTTTAATTCAGAAAATATGGTCACTGTAACCACTGTGTGGAAGTCTGAAGTGGAATGTGAAGGTGAAGTTTCCTACCCGGCTTCCGTTTGAGGACTGGAAATAAGCAGCTCTTGTTGCAGCCAGACACGCAATATTTCTTTACACCTGGATATGTCTCATTGGGAACACACCTTTTAAAACATGGTTGTTTCTAAGCAACGCTGGGATAATCTCTTTATCTCCCTGCAGCAGAAAGAGAGAGAGCCACAATAAGGAGCTAATGACACCGAGAGACACCCATTAGCATAGCAGAGACAAAGTCAGAGGACGAAGCCCTGGGCTTCATTGAAGCCTCTCTGGACCCTGGTACTAGAGCAAAGGGACAATAAGAGTAGCAACAACCACAGTAACGATATAACTGGAACATTTCCTGA